GTGAATGAATGATTTAATGAGTGAGTGAGTGGTGAATGAATGAATGTGTGAGTGAGTGAGTGAATGAGTAAGTGTGTAACTGGGCAAATGAGTGACAGAATGGATGAGTGAGTGAATGAATGATTTAATGAGTGAGTGAATGAATGGGTGAATGTGTGACTGAGTGAGTGAATGAGTGAGTGTAACTGGGAAAATGAGTCAGGGAATGGAGGAGTGAATGGATGATTGAATGAGTGAGTGAATGAATGGGTGAGGGAATACGTAAATGACGGGGTGTGTGACTGAGTGAGGGAGTGAACTGCTGGGTGAGTAAATGAGTGAGTGGAGGAGCAGGAGGTGGCAGAGCGGGTGACGTCTGCTGGCTTCACCGACCTCCTTCTCTGGAGCCCCTTTGCTGCTGTTGGCCACCCTACTGACACCCTGGCCTGGCGCCTTGAGCCTGCTGTACTTGACCCCAAGGTAACCCCAGAGAGCCAAGCCGTGGATCTCAGCTAGGTTCACACTGGGCCTGGACCCCAGGGAGACCCCAATGAGAGCACAAGACAGGGCCAGGGAGGGTTTCCCTGGCTCTGGAGGCCAGCTGAGCCTCCTGCCTGCAGCCCCGGGCCGCCTCTCCCTGCCACCGCTCCCCGGGCCCACACCTGTGGCAGCAGTGTGGTGTGCAGCACAACGGGGGCCCCTTCGGGTACCTCAAAAAGGTGTGAGTTCCTCAGAGAGGAAGCAGCAATGTTCCTCGTGGCGTGTGGCCCGGGAATGTTCTGTGGCTTGGCGGTGTGCAAGCCCGCGGCTGACCCTGACTTGCTCTCTGTTGCCCGTAGCTGGTACTGTGAGTGTCGGTACCAGTGCCTGCCTCTCCCTGTCCCGACACCCAAGCCCCACCTCCGTGTTCCGACATCCCTACATCCCCTACTTCAGAGGTAAGGCGCGAGGGCTGCGGGCTGTGAGTGTGTCCCGGCATCTTTGTGGCCACTGTCCCGTGTCACCGCATGGCTTCCTGGCCCTCTGTCTCACGTCCCACGCCCCCTCGCTGTGTGTGTCTTGTACGTCTGGTTCAGTGCCTGTCAGTGTCTCAGTGTTCTAGAAGGAAGACAGAGGTCACTTGTGACATCAGGGAGCAAATCGAGGAGTGCAGGTCTGGGCAGCTGCAGGAAGGGGGGACAGGGACCCGTTGTGGGCCACGGCCAGGCTCTGGTGCAGGTGCTGGACATAGTCATCTGTGTCGTATCCATAGAAGCTTGGTGAGGTGTAGCACTGTCAGCCCGGGGCTCAGGAGGCAGAGAGGGGGGCTGCGACTTGCCCACTCTCAGAGCTCTTCCCGGGCCGCGGACCCACCACGATCCCTATTCTCCATGTCCGTGTGCACATGCAGTGTGCCCAGGAGAGCCGTGAGTGTGCGCTCGTGTGGAAAGGCGCTTGGTGCCCTGGAGGAAGCAGTGATGCTGTTCTGACCACTCCCCAGGGGATGTGTGAAGTCCCCATCCTTACAGCCACTGAGTGGGGAACGTCTCCAGAAGGCCCTCCCGCAGACGTGGCAAACACAAGTGCGTGACGGGCGTGAGGCCATCTCCTCATGTGCATCATGATCTCTTCCCTGGACCCATAAACAAACAAACAAAAAAAAAACTCACTGCCGTCGAGTCATCTCCAACTCCTAGCAACCCCTCCTTGGGTTTCCGAGGTGATTTCTCTACAGAAGGAGAATGCCCCACCTTCCCTCCAAGGAGTGGCTGCTGGGTTTGAACCACCAACCTTCTGGTGAGCAGTCAAATGCCTTCGGCACTGCGCCACCAGAGCTCTGACCGATAAGCAGCATCACGGTAAATGGAGAAAAGGTGGAAGTTGCCAAGGGTTTCATTTTACTGGTTCCACCATCCACACCCGTGGAAGCAGCAGTCAAGACATCAGACGTTGTATTGCACTGGGCAGATCTGCTGCTAAGACCTCTTTCAAGTGCTGAGGAGCAAAGATGTCACTTGGAAGACGAAGGTGCGCCTAACCCACGCCATGGCATTTTCAATCGCCTCATATGGATGTGAGAGCTGGACAATGAATAAGGAAGGCCGAAGAAAGGTTGATGCTTTTGAGTTGTGGTGCTGGCGAAGAATGCTGAAGGTACGTACCGTGGACAGCCAGAAGATGGACGGATCTGCCCTGCGCTGGTGGCACCGGCCCGTGGACACCACTGCCTTCAAGGCCATCCTGTTTGCTCCTGCCTGCCTGCTGGCCAAGGTCTCATGTCACTCGCCCGGGTGCAGGAAGCCTGCTGCCCTCCTCTGCCTCTGCCTGGCTCCCTGTCTTTCTGGGACCCTTCGTCGGCCGTAGGATCAGCCAGCTCCATTCAATCTGGCTGACCTGGCTCAGCCGCAAGGAGACGCAGGTGCCCGAGTGCAGCTCCCAGCACCAGCCTCCCTCACAAGCTGTGTAGACCTTTGGGTCACCTTGGAGGTCACACCAGACCTGAATTTCACTGAGGCTGTCTTCCCGCCCCACAGGCTCCAGCACATGCTGGCCTGGGTGTGACCAGCCTGCTGACACGCTCGGGCAGCCAGCTGCACCAAGGGCTGCCTGCCCCTCACCTGGATGCAGGCCCGGCTGTCCGTCCACACCCTCTGTGAGGTGGCCCTGCTAGGGGTGCCCCTCTGGGGCTGTGGAGAGGTGTCAGGCAGACGTGGACCAGCCTATGCCCCCTCCTCTAGCCCCCACCCCCTCTCACATCTCGGTGCCCTGGGCCATTCTCTACCAATAACAGGCTGGTAGCACCCATGGCACCGTGGTATGACTCTCTGCCCTGGGTGTTTCCTGGGGAAGACTGCTCTGGAGCTGCTGGCAGGGGCTGACCCGCCGGCTGACTGGTGGCTGCCTCCTGTGTGTGATGAGAGGGGCAGGACCCAGGTGTGAAGCCCCTAGACTCTCGGCCTCTCCCCAGAGGAACCTGCTGATGTCACTGGGCGACAGCTCCTCGGCTCTCCAGGGGGACCCTGGTCCTGGGCCACCCGCTCCCAGGGTGGGTGCGGCGAATGCCACAGCACCTCAGAGCCGGCACTGTGTGAGGCCATTCAAAGAACTGGCCGGTTGTGGGGCTGGTGAACATGCAGTCGGATGTCAGGCCGGGAGCTCTGGCAGGAGGCCCATGGCACAGCCATGAAACAGGGTCCTTGTCTCTCGGGAAACCTCAGCTCTGGCTCGTAGGCCTTCCACGGATTAGACCAGGCTGGCTGCTCTGTGGGCTGATCTGCTTGACCGGGACTCAGCTGACGTCCGTGTCAACCAGACAGAACCTCCGAGCCCCGCGGGAATCGCCCCGAGCACGTGCGGCACCACAGCCCGAGTGGAGCAGGTGCCTGAAGTTCACCATCACGAGCGACACCCTCGCGCTCACGGAGCAGGGCCTGTGGACACGGATGGGAGCCGGCCCTGCTCTGGAGGCACCAGAAGACGGCGGGGTCTGTGCAAAGCTCCAGGGCGCAAGGGCACAGGTGCTGTTCAGGCTACAGTGTGACTCGGGTCTCCACCTGGTAACCAAAGCGTGAAATAAGCATCGATTCAGTTCCACATCAGGGAATGAACGGGTAGATCCCTGGCTGCGGAGGAGGCCGTGCCCTGTTCAGAAACCCCCATGGTGGTGGCCCCACCCCTGAGAGCGGGCTGTGCTTGGTGACCTCTGTCCGAGGAGGACGTGATGGGAAGGTGAAACAGCCCTTCACAGCGGGGACGCGGGGCCACTGCCACCTCAGCCAGGTGGGCAGGGCCTGAGGCCAGTGATGAGTCATGGTAAGGGCGTGGTGTGGTGTGGGCCTCTGTGGTTGAGTTGTGGGCCCCGGCCGTGCCAGGCGTGTTGAGTGGACGGCTGGGTCTCCGTGCCTGGGTCCCGGTCCTTCGGAGCGCCTGATGGACCCAGCGCCTTCCCGGGATGAGTGTGCACCTCCTTGGAGTCCCGTGCAGTTTGGGAAGCCAGCATTCCCAGCCCCTGAGACCTGTGGCATCTTCCACCGAGTGGGCGAGGCCGAGGAGATGGGGCCGAGAAAGGACCCACCGCAGCCCCCCAGTGAGCAGGCCGTCGGAGAGCTCCCTTACTCGGCGATGAGGCCTGAGGTGACCGTCTCCGACCCCCGGACTCACGAGGACAGGAGGTGTGATGCCCAGGGTCGCTGTCTGTGCTGACCTGGGGATGGACCGGACACAGCCTTGGTGTCTGAGCTGCGTGTCAGGGGGGGCTCCACCGGGCTCACGGCCTCCCCAGGGGCGCGTCCTGTCTGCAAGTCTGGTGAAGGTCCTGGTGGCCCTGCTGGGTGCTGCACTGGAGGGACAGCTCTTGGAAGGCAGGGCTCTGATCCGAGGTCCCGCTGCTGTCCACGGAGGCGAAGTCATTGGCCACGGGAAGGGCTGACATGAGCGTTCAGGGAAACGATGCAAAGCACTTGATTCCCGCACCACGAGGAGGCTTCAGGTTCAAGTTGTCCGTTCCGTCTGTATGTCTGCAGAGCTGAGCTCCTGGGTTTGCACGCCCCCAGCCAGGTCTAAGCACTTCCTCCAGCCCCTGCCCCACCCCCCACCCACCTGTGCCCTCCCAGCTCTGGCACAGTCCCTAGTGTGAAGGCAGGTGTCACCAGGGCATCCTGTGGCTTCAAACCGGGCCTTGGCAAGTCGAGGGGCCCTTTCCCGTGTGGCTGGCAGCTGCATGACGCCAAAGGGCCCCGGGGCACCTGGAGGGGAATGAACGGTGCCGGTGTGTGTCAACCCCAAGTGAGACATGTGCACCGTCATCAGAACACCCAGCGCCCGTCCCGTCTGCCCACTGTGTGCTCCCTAAGTGGATGGGGCGGCTCTCCGTGACCATCCAACCTTGTGTCCAGACAGGGATCCCAGGGGCAGCTAGGGCAGGACGATGCAGCCAGAGCAGGGCACAGGGCCCCTCCGATTAACAGACCGAGAAACTGGGGGCTTTCCTAGCTGCGTGGGGACTGGTGGGCCCAGGTCCTACCTGCCGGGAGCTGGGGGAGTTTCCCCAAGTGGCTTTTAAGGATGGATATCAATTGATTTCCTGCCCTTAGTCGTCTTGGGTATGGCTCGTTTGGGGCACAAGGAAGCAGCACCTTCCTGTGAGACGGTGGGTGGGAAGGGGGAGCCCCATGGCACAGGTGCTCCCCCAAAGGTTGGGGGTTCGAGTCCACCCAGAGCTGCCCCAGAAGGAAAGCCTGGTGCCTGACCTGCAGAAATCAGGCCCTGAAACCCTGACACACACAGGGCGCCAGGAACAGGGTCGATTCAGGGGCGCCATGAGTCAGGGTCGATCCACGGCACCTGACGTCCAGGAAGGGGCCTGAGTGAATTTGCAACCTGCCGGCTTCCAACAAGCATCGCAGGGATGGTGGGGCCTGAGCAGGACCGGGCACCGGGCAGCTTCCCTTCTGCTGTTCGTGGGGTCATGCCAACTGGCTGGCACCTAGCACCAGCACCAACAGATTGAAACACCGGACACGGCAGATTCAGGGAGCAGAGCGGGTGTGTGCCCTGAGGACAGGGACGCTGCCAGGGAGCCCCGGCCACCTGTCTGGCGACGAGGCCCCAGCCATGCCCTGTGTGCCCTGGGGCCACGGGACGGGGTGGACTCCAGAGTTGGATTAGCAAGGAGAGGGTCTGGGCTTCACGGCTGGGAGGGGGCTCACCAGGGGCAGCTTCGGTGGTTGACAAGCTGTCCCTGCTGCCCGTGTCCCCTCGGGCCACTGTCCTCGCTCTTCTGCCCGAAGGCAGCGAAAGTGGCCGCAGCACCCCCAGCCTCTCTGTGCTCTCGGACAGCCGGCCGACTCCCTCCACCTACCAGCAGGCGCCACGCCACTTCCACGTCCCAGGTAGGACCGCGTGCCCCCACCGTGCTGCCCTGAATGGGGACCTGCCTTGACCCCCAGATGCCGTGAGAACCCCCCGGCCCCCCATCACTCCCTTAATTCTGACACCCTTCACAAACACCCCCATGCATGCCTCCAAACTGCCAGAGAGCTGTGCTCGCCTGCTGGGAGCGGGCCGGGAAGAAGGCTGGCTGGGGCCTGGGGTTCTTCCTGCTGCCCAGCCCCTTCCACCCGGGGTGCAGAGCGTGGTGGCGCCTCGGGTCTGTGGGGCTGGGAGCCAGCCTCCTGTGGGTCCGAGATGGGGAGCTGCGTGCACGGAAACTACCTCCCCCGTACAGCACCCTGTCGCCCTGTCCTCTCTTCCCCAGACACCGGCGTGAGGGATAATATCTACCGGAAGCCCCCCATCTACAAACAGCACGGTACGTGAGCCCTGGTGCCACCTGCCGCATGCCCGTCGTGCCCCGTGGCTTCTGAACCCATCCCTGCTCTTGGTGGGATGGTAACCAGAGGCCTCGGCCGCCTGGGGGTTAAATGCCAGCTCCCAGGACCGGTGGGCACGGGGCTCCTGCCTGCCCGGAGCGGGGGGATTGCCTCGACCGGCTTTAACGATGGAGGTTGATTAATGTCTGAGCCTTCATCCTCATGAGAGGCCCAGCTGG